AATACTAGCTTAAACCCGTTCTTACTTAGTAGAGAACCAGATACCAAGTTTTTCCTAATATCGGGCACATGAAGAACGTCATTCAAAGTGAGCTCTTTTCCACTTGTCATTTTCAGCACTATCTTCCCATGTCCTTCTACCTTGAAAGATGACGAGTTTTCCATGTAGAGATGTTCATCATGATCTATCGCTTTGTAGGTAGAGAACATCCCGTGGTTTGAGTATATATGACGAGTAGCTCCAGTATCCACCCACCACTCCTTAGTGTTTCTAGCTAAGTTGCATTCAGAGACGACCGCAGAAAGATCCATGTCTTGCACCTTATCAGTGAGGTTCTCATGTTCTATTACATTGGCCTGGTGAGTTTTTCCCTTCACATTCTTTGGCTTTCGACAATATTTGGATCGATGTCCTGCCTTGCCACAATTGTAACAGTTACCTTTAAACTTTTTAGTAGTTTTTGAAGAACTAGTTTGTCCTTCACCGTTGTGCTTCCTCTTTTTGATAGTCTTGAAGCCTCCTTCTACAATGTTGGCTTTTGATTCCATCGAATGTGATGCACCATTCCTTTTTTCAGTTTTACGATTGTCTTCTTCTATTCTCAATCGGACAATGATATCTTCAAGTTTCATTTCCTTCCACTTGTGCTTTAGGTAATTCTTGAAATCCTTCCATGAAAGTGGTAATTTCTCAATCAGTGCAGCGACTTGAAATGATTCACTTAGTTTCATTCCTTCGGCATGGATGTCGCTAAGTATAATTTGAAATTCTTGAACTTGGGATATAACAGTCTTGCTGTCAACCATTTTATAGTCCAAAAATCGACCGACAATAAATTTCTTCATGCCGGCATCTTCGGTTTTATACTTGGTGTCAAAAGATTCTCATAGTTCTTTTGCTGATTTCACATTGCAGTACACATTATATAATGTGTTGTCCAATCCATTGAGTACATAATTTTTGCACAGAAAATCAGAATGCTTCTATGTATCAACCGCAGCCAATTTTTCAGTATCACTATCTTGCTCGGTATATGAAGACGCATCTTCTTTGAGAAATTTAGCCAGATTTAATGTTGTCAAATAAAAAAGTATTTTTTGTTGCCAACGCTTGAAATTTGATCAATTAAATTTTTCTGATTTTTTCCCGGTCGTATTCAGGAGTGTGGTACCAGAAGTTGTCATTTCTGAAATACAATCAGAAGATCAACTGTAAGAAGGAGTAGAAACAGAAACAGAATAATAGCGAAATTCGTTTTAAGATTGTTGTTTTTAGAGTTTGAAATTATTCCTTCGAAAACAATCTGACAGAATCACCTAAATGTAAGAAATGATCAACAGGATCCAAAATATAACTTGAACCCACCGACTTCGCGATATTTCCTTAAAACGAATTTGTTGCCTTCAATGGTGCTAAAGGTGTCCAACAATCGTTTTCCAGGATAGAACAAATTTTCGTCTTCTACGGAAGCAGTACAGCAATCTGCAGAAATTCCAATGAAATCAACGAAGTGTATTTGACTTCGAAACAATATCAAAACGAGAGAGAGGAGAATAAGATTCAAAGCACAAAAAGTTTGCAATGAAAATGGTGTAAATTTTCTAGCAGAGAGGCAGACTATTTATAGATTTATTCATGGTCATTCGAATAGTCGCCACCTTTCAGACAAATCTCAAACACTCGAAACAGACATGTTGTTCTAAAGTCACGTCTGTTAAGTCAGTTAACAGTCGGCTAACAGTCGATTGTTTGGTCGGTTAACAAATGACTGTTAAACAGTCTATCCAGACCAAAAAATCAGCCGGAATAAGCCAAAATTTTAAATTTCATAATGTACAAAAAAATTTAATTATTTACAATTTGGCCAAAAAATTTAAATAAACTTTGTCAAAAAGTTAATATACGTGCCCGTGCCGAGTCGAGCTGAGCCGGTCGACCGTACGGACGACAGCGCGCGCGTGTGGGTTTATGATCGAACCCAATAGGATATAAGTCATCCCCCTTCCAAAGACTATTGGTACCCTTTGGAGCCCAAACCCAATTCCCAAATTTCCACCTTATAAACCACACCAAAGTTTCCTAACTTTTTTATGTGGGATAAGTGTTCAGAAAATCAAATTCTTCTATAATACTTAATTTTATGTGGGTTACTTTAACACTTAATATTTCATTCAATTCTAAATGATTTTTGACAAATAAATATATCACGTTAATCATCTTGTGGAGTAGAACGGGAATATACTAGATCCCGTATTAATTAAAAGGTGGGTTCTACTGAAATTTGGGCTCAAAGTTAACCCATTTCATAACCATTTTTCCAACATATTTTACTTTATAGCCATTATATTAATTATATTCAGCCTATGATTAATTTAGGTAAAAAGCAAAATTTTAGTAGCTTTTGATAAAAATTGATAAAATATGTGATTGAAAAGTTGTGGATTTCATAAAGTTTGTGATAAATATTAATTGTTGATTTTGACTTAAATTTTAATCAACTTTTCTAGATGAACCAAACACAAGCTAAGATATTTTCCAGAGAAATGGATAGAGGGAGAGAGAGCTGATTGCATCCCTTGTATAACCTTAGGTTATGTTCTCTTTGAACAATAAAATTGAGAACCAGAAAAGAAAGGAAAGGGTTTCAGCAAAGGGAGAACCAAGACAGACTATTAGTTTTATCCAGTATTCTAAAATGTTTAAAATGTTTCAGAAATATAAAGACAAGAATATAGAAAAAGAGCAAAAGAGAAATTCCAATTTCTCAGTTAGAGGCATAATTAATCTGCAAATCCGTGGAAGAGAGGGAAGAAGATGAAAGTCAACATCTAGGTTTCCTTTGCCCGAGAATGGATGAGAAGATAAAAGACAATGGATGCATAGACAGCGTATATACTGGCTCATGTACAGTGAATGTAGAGAGAAAATAAGTTAGGCCTATGACAGTCATTGGCGGACCTACTCAAGGCCCTAGTGGGTCACTTGACCCACCAGTTTCAAGTTGGTGTTTTTTTTATTGTTTTATTTTAAGAATCAAAAATTAGAATTGGGCAATAATTATAATTGGATTTTTTTATTAGAATAGAGTTCCATCAATGACCAAACAATTGAGAGAGTGAGAGTGAGAGCTGAATTTTTTTTTGTCATTTGTGATATTCAATTTGAAAATTCTTTAAAAATTGTTATTCATCATATATGTGAGATTATTTGAAATTCTTTGAGAATTGTTATTTATTATATATATGATATTTGTGAATCTATGATAGTGATCATGTGTATGTGTTTTTGTAGAATATATAATTTTTTTGTAACTTTTTAATTAATTTGATTATACCCTCACTAACTCCAAATGTCTGCTTCCGCCATTGATGCATGTGCCATTTACCTGTGCCTTAATAAACAGTATTAAACTAGTTTCATACCAATTAGGTGTGAAAACAACCGGACATAAATGAACAGTGAAAAAGGGGTGGATTCTTTTAAGTGAGAAGGTAGATATACATCACTGCATCTATTTATTATTCCTATGTGGCATATATCTAATTCTTTTATACTATTCATACTGAGGATTATTGATAGTAATCCTATATGGCATATATCTATTTTTTTTATTTTTTAATCAATAATGCTCACTATGAATGATTAAAGGATTGGATTTATGCCACATAGATTTGACTACCGGCAACAAATGAAATTAAAACGAATTGCGCGAGAAGTTAAAAAAACTAATGGCAACAATATCACATTTCAAATTCTCATTCCAAAGTTTAAAATGGAAGAGAAAATGAAATGAGGAATTGGAACTTGAAATTGAATTCACCATTCTACTTTAAAAGTCTATTCACACAAACCAAATATGTTTTTGATCATAGTATATTTACCACATATTTGTATGTAATTCTTGACACTATAATGAATATTATTTTATTTTCAGATTGATCTGATTTTTAGAATGTTGATTTTTATAGAGTAATTTTGTTTAAAATTTCAAATAGAATCAATTTGTAATTTGTTGATATTTATTTGTTTGATTTTTTATATTGATGAATTTGTTATTTGAAACGACAAAGTTATGAATTTTATGCAATAAACGATATAAGGTATTAATTTTATCTTTCTAACTACATATTTCAAAATTTTCTAATTTTTGCGTGAACTATTAATGAGTTACATCATTTTATCCTAACTATATATAAGAAATCCATGAAATCTATATAGTAGAATTCTATAAAAACTTCATGAATTTGTGGAATTCAATCCAAATTCATGAAATCAATAAGATACACTAATCTTAAGAGATCCATTAAACACGGCCCCTTATGAAATTCTTTGATTTTGATTTTGATTTTTTCCAAATTCATGAAAACTATGATAATTCATAAATCTTAAAAAGTCCACTAAACTCATACGGGGTATCCTCAACTAACATTTGATAAATTTTAAAAGTCATTCGAAATTCAGATGTCTTCAATTGAGATTTTGAAATCCATTAAATCTAGGTGTATCTAATTGAAATTTTAAAGTCATTCGAAATTCAGATGTCTCCAATTGAGATTTTGAAATCCATTAAATCTAGGTGTACCTAATTGAAATTTTAACGAATTTAAATTTAATCTTTTAAAATCTAGGTATCCTCAACAACTCGTGAATTTATAAGAATTTCATTAAGAGAGTGACATTAAAAAAATCTGCATGGATTTTAAACTTAAAAATACATATAATAAACCCTTTTGACATTCAACCATTTTTAATGAGATTCTTACAGATTTTACAAAAATCTATTCAAATTCACCAAATTCATTAGAATTTCATAATCTTTTAAATCCTTTACCTTCACAATATGAGTTGAGGACGCCCCTTAGGACACCTTCATCTATGAGGATAAATTACTTCGGATGACGTGTACGTTAAACATTATTTTCAATGTTTATCCACTAAACATCTTCACTTCTATAAATTGTAACCCCTGAACAAACCACAATCAGAAAAATATTTCCTCCTCCACATTCTCTCTTGTTTCTTTATCTTCTTACTCCATATTCAAGACTAATGAAGAAGGCTGGTTGTGCTGTGTTGTACTTGGTGGCAGTGGTGGTACTGCTAGGAAACATGCATATGACCGAGGCAGTTACTTGCAATGCAGCGGAGCTAACACCATGCCTGGATGCGTTCACTTCGCCACGGCCACCTTCCGCCGTCTGTTGCAGTAAACTCAATGAACAGAAGCCTTGCCTCTGTGGGTATATCAAAGATCCAAGATTCGCGAAGTATGTGAAATCCCCTAAAGCCAAAAAGGTTGCTAGCAGCTGCGGTGTGCCCATTCCCAAATGCTGAAATTAATTTAAAGATTTTGCAAGTTACATAAAATAAGATTAGTTTTGTGTTCATGGCCAAAACTAATGTAATAAAACGTTTATGAGTTTAAACTGTTAACAAGTATTTGTGTTCTTAGTCTTGATCTTGATGGTTTTTATAGTGACATGGACCTGGATACATTTTCATTGACACAATAGCATATTATTTCAACCATTAATTTGATATCGTCATACAAATAACAAAATTAAGTTTAGAAAGAAAAGAAACCCAGTTTGGTTGCTTGTTATGATGTGTACACAATATAGGAACATAATGTGGAAAAATGCTAAATTTTAATGATGAGAGATACGCTTGACCACTTAACTTAGAGAAACTACGTCTTGATATCAACTTCTAAAATTTTGATACCTTATTGGGGGCCAACAAAAATGTTACAAAATATTCAGCCTCACAATACTACTTTTTCACTCTAGAAATTTGGCCTACACCAACTTCTAAAATTTTGACACCTTAAAAATTATTATGTAGTGTCAATATTTTATGGATAAATCTTGGTGTACATAAAAATGTACCTAAGGGTGTCCACATCCCTCACAAGGGGTGAGACCCGTGCGATTCACACCCCTACCCACCTCGTGATATCTCACCCCGTGTGAGAGGTGTGGACACTGTTATACATATTTTTGGGAAATTTACATAAATGTCATTAAAATTGAAAATGCACAAAAAATTTTCATTTGCACAAATTTCTTCCATAAATGTCACTTTTTTGTTGCAAAATGTCCATTTTATCCTTTGTGACACTTTTTTAGGAGCAATAAATGTTTGATTTGAATGCAATTAATGGTTTGATGTAATGATTTGTTTTATATATTTTAACATTTAATATATGATTTTTATATTGTACAATATGAATTTTTGTTAAAAAAGGGTGAATAGTTAAAAAAACACACACACAAACACGTATACATGCAGATCCTACCTTCTTCACCATCTTTATTTCATTATCAATAGGGGAAAGCTATTGATCGAGCTACTAAAAAAAAATATATTCTCATCTCATAGTTTACTACTTTAAACATTTAATACAAACACACACACAAACATGTATACCTGCAAAGCTATTGATCGAGCTACTAAAAAAAATATTTCTCATCTCATAATTAATTGAACTTTTTGAAGCTTTTATTCATTGATTTGTTTTATTTTTAATATATTTTTTGAAGAAAAAAAATACTAACATCCTCTAGAAAATGTGAATGATTCCATATTTAATGAAGCATTAAGTTATTCCTTCTTTATTTGTGGGAAGATATTGTGATGTTGCAGTTGATAATTGATTATCACTATTAATGTTATCAATAATTTCTTCCAAACAATCAAACACACTTTTTAAGCTACCCCGAAAATTATGGCAGTTCAGCTGTCGAACAGTACCTTCGAAACTATCGGGTTAGATATTTGAACTGTCAAACTTGACATTTACTAATTATCGAGATAGACAATTTAATTGTCAATTTCGACACCTAAAAACTGTTGACACTCTTTCACTTTTTGTTACTACATGGATCTAAATATTCACATGCTCCATGTCGACAGTTGTAATGTACAGAATTCTCACCTTTGCAATCCCAACATTTCAGGTATGAGTCATCATATGGAAAGTTTGTTTACGTGGATGATAAATGGAAGTGGAGAGGAGATAAATCACTTTCATTTTTGTGCCAAGAAATATTACCGCAGTCGAACTTGTATTACGGTTAAAGGACAAATTTGGTATTGTTCAGCCCTACACTGAAATTGAATTGAAATTCAAAGTCCCGAACTTGAATATACCTCCGGCAGAAATATGCGACAATGAAGACTTGAATTGATACATATCTATTCATAAGAAACTGCATTTTGTGTTACTATATTGGAAATCGAGCTTCCGAGTATTGTCATGGGGAGGGATGTAAATTGTGCAACGAATTTGTTCACCTCAGCGAATGTGCCCCAAAATGTACATTATGATGAGCTCAATCAACACAGTATGTCGAACAACAACCTCCAATTGATGATATTGAGGCTGAAACATTGAATGAGAACTTAGACAACCCGTTACATGGTACAGAGGGTGCTATTATTGCTGACATTGACGAGCAAATGTCAACACATTCCATAACTTCGCACAGATTTGATTGGATTATAGCCGTGAATACATCCTATCTCACCGAAATAGTTGTACTTAAAAGATTTGTGCACTTGCTTTACAAGACAAGTTTCAATTTCAAGTCACCATGTTAAGCATAAAAATGTTAACCATTGTATGCGCGGATGATAATTGTAAGTGGATGCTACGTACTTCGACTGTCAAGTAATCTAAAATCTTCATGATCCGTAGATTTAATAACGTGCACACGTGTTCCGTTGATTTTCGTCGTAAGACACATCGGCATGCCACCAGTTCTGTAATTGTCAAGCACATTTTGTATAAACTAGATAATTCGTATCGATCGTATGACCCTACCGCTATTGTATATGACATGCAACGTGAGTTCGGCGTGAAAATCAGTTATAGCAATGCACGTAAGGTGAAGTTGGCTCCTTTATATATGCTTTATATATGCTACATGGTACACTGGGAGACAGTTTTCAAAAACTATCTTCGTACTGCCATATCCTAAGAGAGAGTAACTCAGAGACATTAACCCACATCGAAGTTGATTCTCTTAATAGGTTTCATTACGCTGGGCCATGGCACGTTTATTGACCCTGTGGATTCCAAGAACCACTAAAGTCTCGTTTGTTTTTTTTAACTAGACTCAATCAATCTTCCTCGCTTGAGGCCTGTCATTTGTGTTGATAGCAGTCACTTGAAAGGTCCGTACAAAGGTATACTTCTAGTGACAACTGTCTAAGATGCCAACAAACATATTTATTCGTTGGCAAGGGGGATCGTGGATGCTTAAACCAATAAATCCTGGATGTGGTTTATGTTAAACTAAAAGACCTTATGGGCGACTCAGAAGAATTCGTATTTGTTTCAGACAAGAAAACAGTATTGAGAAAGCAATTACTCAGTTATTTTCGTTGTCTCATCATGATTGTTGTATCTAGTAGATGGAGAAGAAATTAATACATATGTACAACAACGCAAGTGGAATATTTTTGTTCAAACGAGTTACTACAACTTATCGGGTTGAAGAGTTCAAAAGACTCATCGGATAGATTCGTAGGGTGACCGAAAGAACGTATGGGCACTTGGAACGAGCATGTTTTAATTTTTGGTTTCAAGCACTATTTATTGGATACCGGTACAATATTATGACGAACAATAATGCAGAATCTTTGAACTCGATGTTGAGACAAGCCTGTTCATTATTGATCACCTGCTTGGTCGAACATACTCGAAATACTATGTAGAAGTGATTTTACAAACGTCGAACAAATGCCACCAAATGCAGTACCATATTGTCATCAAGGATGGAGAACGAGCTATGAACAACATTTGAATTTCGTAGTACGCTTTGAGCTCATGTGTCGATAGACAACTTAACCCAGGTTGGAATATTCAACGACATGGACATAGTAGACTTTTTTGAAGACACGTGCACGTGTCGTGAGTTCCAACTAAATCATATGTCATGTGTTCATGTAACTCGTGCTGCTTGCTTGAGAGGAAAGTCCTTGTATGACCTATGCTCTCTTTATTACACATCTGAATACTAGAAGGTTGCCTATAACGAAGTTATATATCCTATTACGCGGGAAGTGGACTGGGTTGTTCCAAGCTTAATTACATGTACTCCTATTATGCCACCTTTCGTACGTCGGCCTCTAGGTAGACTGTCGACGTGCCGTAAGCGTTCTAGATATGAGTCTGCATGGTCAAGTAAGAAATGCACTCGCTGTGATCGACTTGGTCATAACCAGACCACACGTTCAAACCCCAACACAAGTTTCTTAGACAGCCGCTTCATGTCGTCATTCACTTTGTATGTTCAATATTCCCTACTATGTTGTACATTATAAAGTTATATTATCATTTTGTTCTCATTATCTTTTGCGGACGTATGTGCTCCTTATGTTGGTATATACAAATTACGAAAGCTTATGTTGACGACTTGCACAACATCTCGAAAGTTAAACTGTCGGTCCCGACAGATGCCTTATTAATTCTCGACAATTGATGAAAAGGTACACGAAGCATTAAAGATAAGGTAAAGGGCGAACTACATATTTGTTCAAAAAGAATAAACACAATGTGAAAGTGATTTTGCCAATTCTTTAAAATCGTGCAAAAGGCTCTCCAACTCTATGTTTGTTCAAAACAATTCAAGCTAATAGGTGAAAAACTTCTATTACAATCCACCGAAAATTCTAATTTCATACCTCAACAAATAAATCGTAATTATTGACATTGTAAATAGTGGACTCGATTTACGCATAAATGATAAACAAAGTAAAAGATAATTAGTATTACTATGAAGAATTGTATAAAGAAGGACAATTACAAAATAATGAATTGAAATACTTTCAACAGTTTCACCGTTGGAGTACTTTTTGAAATTTTTGAAACTATCAGTGATCAAAATCTCGTTTTCATTATCTTTATTGCTTCTCGTGCTAATGCACTAAACATTTAATGGAATCGTACATACCTGTCGTAACATCCACTCAACTGTAGGTGTTCTCCAACACATTATCAACTTATACTATTATCTTCAATTTACATCGTCATTAGCATTCCAATATCGTTTGCAAACAGGCAAATACGTGTTTAACTTCATAAGCAAAATATGGATCCATAGACAACATATTGCATTACAGCCCTACAGTTATTTTATCGTTCTCGATAGATTATTCCTATCATTCTCAACAACTCGACAAGATAATACTTTACAGTCTAATAGTTACTGTGTCGTTCCCGACAGATTCTTTCTGTCATTCTTGGCACTTGGATCGGAATTCCAAAAAATAATACGTGAATTTGAACATAACAGACATGCTGATGCTGACTTTTTGATAAAGACATTACCAAATTCATCCATGCAAAAGAAAATATTATACATAACTTATTACACTACGATTTTGCTGGTGTTCTCTT